AAGTACTGCTTACCTCTTCGGTGACGTTGACAAAAGTCTCAAAGAACACATAGAGCTGCTCCTTCCCAGAGGATGAGAGTATTCCTGTCAGCACTTCCTTCACCAGCGTCTCATTCTCTAGAGCACCACTGGATGGATCTAGTATCAGCTCTGCTTTCTGTTGTGCAGAAAGGGATTCTAAAACTTCCTCCTAGAAGGAATAAACAATAGATTTTTAAATACTGGTATTTTGTGATTCACTCATTGCAGTGTTGTCTTTTGATAGACCACACCGATCTCACTTGCTAGATAAAACCTGTATAATTCTCCTATCCAGTTTTTATTTCAAATTCATTCATTTTTCAATATCCATGCTACACAAAGTCACAGAAAGTGGAAAATGTGCTTACCGCTGAGAAATTTCCATTAATTTTTTTTAAGTATTGCAACTTGGCAAATGTTGAGAAATTACCAAAGTTGCTTTTGAGCCATGTTCCACTGCTCATGTTTCCAGACACACAGCCTTAAAGTTAAAAAAAAAAATGTTCATATGTAAACATAACTGGGGCATTTCTATAAATTTATACATAATATTCTGCAATGTGTTATAAATGTTCATTTAAGTGAGCATCAAAGTAAAAATGTTATAGATCATTTTAATTTACTGACAAGTAAATTTGACACCTGAATTTCTGGTGAGGAATGGGAGGATGAAATTAGTGTAGATGGACTTTCGTAGGTCTGTCCTCATTAGGGTGATTTGCAGGCTTAGTCCTTTCACACTGTCGTGTAAAGAAATCAAAAATAGTTTTTAAAAATACCTTTTTATAGTTTTGCAGATGATAGACTATAGAGTGTACAATGGATTTTTAAACATTGTAAACACGCATTCAGTGCATTATTTTATTTGTGTATTTGTTTCTGCTCATTTCCCACTCTTTTTGCAATTTTTAAGGTTTTAAAGGGTTTGAGAAGTAGGTGGGTGATGTTGAAGCCTACCACCTTCCCCAGTACCTCCACAAAACAATAAACTATCATGTTGCACTGTTTACAGTCTGACATTATTGTTGACACAGTTTCATACATGTAAAGTAATAATCCTACTATTAATCCTACTGTTGCGGGTAACCAAATATTCTGTATCACAGAGCAGCTAATATTAATGTTAACACAGACTAATATTAGCTTACTCAGTCACCTGATTTCTATATTCTCTGGTAAAGTAGAAAACTGTTGTAACTAAAATTTGTATGATTTATTTCTATGATCCATAATAATAATGATAATGACGATAATTACCACTGCAATGCACAAGTAGACCTGCAGTGAATTATTAGTGATTTCCACTGACTCCTGTGTGTGTGTGTTTGTGTCTATAGTTACAGTGCTTACATTTCCTGGTAACTTTCACAGGTGAACTCTTTCTTGCTCAGTTCTGACATGAAGGTGTCATTGATGACTGGCAGAAGTGGAAGGAGCCTAATACAGACCCACATCTGAATGAATTCAACACTCTTCAGATTTTCTGGACTCAGACTTTCTAAAGCTCCAGTCATGGAAGCAATATCACCTGTTGATGGAGTCTCACCCTGCAACAGAAATCACCTAAAAGTATTATTCATGCAGAACAAAAAACAGACAGGAGTTTAGACTAATTCAACAGGTCACTTCATCACCACTGCAATGCTTTCAGAGCATAGAGGAATTCATTATTTCTGTCTTTTTATGTTAATTGTTTCACCACCGCTCCTTATGCCCTGGGTAAAGACTTATTTATTTGTTTCCTCTGTGATACAGGTATCCCGTCACCAAATTTTTGCATGCCTCAAATGACTCTACAGGACAGCTGAACATGGATTGGAGGAGAGTGCTAACTACGCTGTTTTGTGTACAGCTGGATATTTTTGGTTGGCAGACAGGTAATGTTGCTTTTTATCAACATGGAAAAATAAACTGAGATGTTCTGTACACCCACAGAGCACAGCCAATTGTGATGTCATTGACTCTATAAGACAAACGACCAAATAAGTGACATTATATCTAGGTGCAGCCAATGTTGCGACAGACACTATGAACCCCTGAATATAATAAAACAGTGACTATAAAAAATAAAAGTGACATTAACCAAGTGACCCTGAGAACTTTTGGCACATATATAAAAATTTGACATATATACATAGAACCCAAATCCACATTTCATAAAGAATCTTTTGTTTAGCTAAGCTACTTGGGAGCCAAATATGTACAATTCTAAATAGTCTAGCAAGTTTAGGGTGGAGACCAGGGGACGTATTACAGAAAATTCCTATTTTTTAATATCAGTTAATATCTGACAGGTCAAGATCAGATTTTTCACAAATTCGAATTACAGAAGCAAATCCTAATTTAGGAACATTTTATCTTACAACTTTATTTGATCTTGCCAGTTAGGAAATCTTAACCTACTTGATTAAAGTCAACAATCAACCGTCATGTTGGTTATCTAGCAAACAACAATCCGTGTACAGCTGAAACATAAGCACTTAATTAAAATAATGTTAAAAGTTAAAGCTACTGATACTGATGTAAAAATGGTCAAAACAAAAATAAGTGCAATAAACTGGAGATTAAAAATACTGGCCCTGATTCTTCCTAAGTTTTTTCTTAAATTTGTTCTTGAGAAAGGTCCTATGAAAAAGTCTACATCAGATTCATGATGTGTTCTTAAACCACAGAACTGTTCTCACCTTTGTGCTCTTGAATGTGCATAGATTATGTTCTTACCTAAGAACAAATCCCAAATAAGAAAACATTGGTGGATGTCAGAACCTTTGTAACAACTGCGTAAGTGGGATTTGAAAAGAAATTTCCTCTTAAGAACGGTTGGGGAATGAGGCCCATTGTTAAGAAAGCGCCCCTTGCTGTTTATCAGAGTGTTACCACTCCCCATTTTCGGTTTATATTTCCCAAACGCTTTAGCCCACCATGCTGTCATTCCTCCTTATAAACAGCCACACATTCAGCTCTGTCTCCTTATTATTCATCAGCAGTATGCTCCTGGTAGGGCCTCCCAAGGCGAACATATCTGGAATGAAGACCCAGACTAACATGATCCAAAATCCCCTATGATCAAGGGACACAATATATCATGTTCATTGCTTGGGAGAGGGTTACTGGGACCTACCCTGCAGCCAGGCTGGGGGGTACTATTCCTCAACGAGCACCTGGTGGCTGGGAAGCCCACGTAACCCGGCCAGGTTGAGCCCAAAAAGGCAACTTGGGGTGACCATGTGGGCCCACCACCCACAAGGTGTAGTGTGGGGGACCAGTGCAGTGCCTTATAGGCAGTGGGAGAGGGTGGGGAGGTCCTTGGTGGCATGGACCCCTGCAGTCAAAACTCTTGGCACGTTAAATGTAAAATCACTGGGGAGGAAGGAGCCGAAACTTAAGTGTTATGAGGTTGAAAGGTACCAATTAGATATAGTTAAGCTCACTTCCATTCACAGTGTTGGCTCTGAAACGAAACTCCTTGATTAGGAGTTAATTCCTCTCTAATTCAGGAGTTACACAGGGTGACAGGCACTGGGTGGGTGTGGGGATAATCACAAGCCCCTGGCTGGCTGCCATGCAGTTGGAGTCACCTCAGTGCAAATTAAAATTGCAGGAAGGAAAGCTGTGACTGTTGTGTGTGCTTATGCACTAAACAACAGTTCAGAGTATTTGGTCTTCTTGGAGCGAGTGGGTGGGGTTCTGGAAAGCATCCCACCTACAGACTCAATAGTCTTACTGAGTGATTTCAGTGCTCACTTTGGCAATGACTGGGAAACCTGGAGGGGGCCAATTGGGAAGAATAGCCTGCCCAATTGTTGTTAATTTGACCATTAAAGAAGTACGTACTTTCAGTATCCACACATACTCAGACGAATTACGTCCGCCATCTTACCAACAACCTCACATTCACCAGTGGCCATTCATTTTGCTATTCATTCATATGGGGAAAATTTGTGTTTAAACAAACACTGTACAAATCCATATGTCTGATTGGAACAAAAAGCACAAAAGCTGTAGCAGGAGTAGCACTGACAAATTACAGCGTAGAATAATAACAGGAAGGAAAAAAATGTCAACAAACTTTAATTCAGCTTTTCAAACCCAGCAAATAATGTTTAAATTAGTAAGCGGTTGCTATAGTATCTCAGGTTGTTGATAGGGTGTTGCTTAGCAGACGTGGTATTGTGTTTTTGCTAAGATTTGCTAGGTGGTTGCTGTAGTATTACAAATAGTTGCTATGGTGCAGTTACTATAGTACTCCATCTGGTTGCTTGGCTATTCCAAAGCAGTTGTTCTGGTATTTTAGGTGGTTGCTAGGTTGTTAAGTTGATGCTATCGTATATCTGGTGGTCGCTAGGGTTTCCTAGGGGGGGTCCTATGGTACCCAATGTGGTTGCTAGTGTATTGTTAGGTGGTTCCTATGGTACTGAAGGTTGTTGGGTGTTGTTAAGTGGTTACTATCGTATCCCTCAATGTTGCTAGGTGGTTGCTGGGTAGTTGCTATAGTGTCCCAGGTAGTTGTCAGAGTTTTGCTTGGTGGTTGCTATGGTATCTTAGGTGGGTGCTAGGGTGTTGCTAAGTGGTTGGTATGGTATTATAGTTTGTTGCTAGGGTGTTGCTAAGTGGTTGTTATGGAATGACAAGTAGTTGCTAATGTGTTGTAAGGTGATTACTATGGTAGTTTAGTTGATTATGAGGGCGATACATGGTTGCTTTGGTATCTCTGGTGATTGCTAGGGGTTTGCTATTGTGTCCAAAGTGGTTGCTTGGGTATTACAGGTAGTTGCTAGAGTGTTGCTAGGTGGTTGCTGCAGTATCTGTGGTGGTTACTAATATGTGTATGAATATATGTGTGTTGTTAGTATGTATGTGAATTTGTATGGAATGTGATGTAATCTATGAGCGTCAGTGTGGGAGGTGATCATTATGACATGATTTGTGGCAGTTAAATTTGAAATGCTGGTCGTTCTGCTATTCATACTCTATTCATGGCTGTATGGAGTCATGTATAGGATCTGTGTTCCTGCAAAGTTTGGTGGGTCTAACTCAAAAGCAGTGGAAAGCATTGACAAATTTCAGTGTAGAACAATAATGATAAGTTGAAAATGGAGAATGTTAAGTTGGCTTTATCAGTAAGTTGACTTTGCGTCTACACTACCACTAGAGGAGGTTATTCAGCAGCAAATTCCAGGCCTAGACTCAGTCTTCATATGTTGAATATCACAGCTACCAATCATACCAGTCATACCAAAGCAGGTCAGAGAGGGAGAGAGCGAGAGAGAGAGCGAGAGAGAGAGAGCGAGATCTTACCCATGAGCTAGCATAGGTCATATTCCCAGGACTGCAAGTAACTTGAGTGAAGTTGGTGGTTGTGAAATTGGTGCTGGTGGAATTGGTGGTGGTTCTGTTTTAATTAGAAAGACATTAGGATATCAAAATAAAAGAAAATTAGGATGTCGAAGGAAAGAAACAATAAGAATGCAAAAAGAAAAACGCACCCATTGTACAGACTGCATGGTTTCGTTGTTGTCGCTGGGATGGGGGCAAATGAATATTTTATCAATATTTCTTAAGCTAAGTACATTGGTGCCTTATGAAATATGACAGTAAACCCAGCATGCTGGAGTTATACATTTATCTTACCATTTGAGATGAGTTCAGTTGAATTGCACTGAAAGAAATTCAGGAGCAAAAATGTAACAATTGTACAGCTAACCTCTGCTCATTTTATTCTTTATGTTTGTAAACTTACAGAACGTTCAGTTTGTATGTAAGCTTTATTTACATCATGCAAGCTTTAGACCTTAGAATTGGACCAAACTAAAAACATTTTCACATTATTGAGTGCCCTTTGAGATTGTACATCAAATCCCCCACTCCTTACCGTTCCTGCACCGTTGGCAGTTTCTTCCTTTATTATCATTAAATTGTTGTTAATTACCAAACCCACCTGTTCCAGAGCAGAGGTCTTTAACTCTGGTCACTGATAGTTATTCGAACTGACTGGTTACCTAATATCATACCTGTCAGTCATTACAAAATCCAGGACCAAAAAGTGGAGCTGAAGACCTCTGCTTTCTGTAGCAGTTCTATTTATCACACTAAATTGGACATGAACAGGTTAACTTGGTCTTGGACAGATTCTTAGGACACAAAACCAAAACACAGAGAGATGGTCTTACCTGTGCACTGACAAGAACCGAACAGCACCCTTAGGAAAAAAACAAAAAAACAAAACATTATTACTATTTGTGATAACTCAGTGTGTCTCTACATCCTCATTTTTACATCTGTGAGAAATATCCTCTCTTGATCTGCTATAAGGACTTCTTTTATTATACAAATCTGATGAGGTTTTAGATCAAATTTATGCAGAAATATAAAAAAAACTCTAAAGGGATCAAAACTTTGAAGTTTTCTGAAATAATTGGAAAGATCCCAGTAAAACCACAGTAAGAATCACTGCTTTTTAGTTTTTATGTCACATGCCATATAATATATTACTACTGTGGTGTTTGTACCACATACTTACTCAGTTAAATTAGAATTTACCATCATGGTACCCAAAATAATTACCTAGTATTTTTTTTTTATACATCAAACACGTACCTAGTTAACACCTAGAACTTAAGGGACTGTAAAAAAAAGTGCTACTATCAGAGCCAGCACCAGAGAGCCCCCTAACAACTTCTGGGTTATCACCGTACCATTATGTTGTCTAGGATTCTTAAGTGAGAAGACAAAGCTAATGGTTAATCATGCTTTATGTTTCAAAAAAGAACATTTGCATCTGGAGCTGAACCCCCCCATAAAAAAGGGAAGTAGAAATTATTTTTTTTTTTTTCAGAGTAAAAAGTTATGCCATTTGTTTTGGCTTTTTGTTGGAGCAATAAGAGTCATTAATGTGAATAGAGAATCCTAAGACTGTTCCAGTTCCAGATTGTACCAGTTAAATTTACGTAGTCATTGTTATTAGTTGTCCTATAATTTTACAGTAGGCCACCTACCAATTTTTTAATTGGCCTTTTTTATTTATTTATTTTTTGCGTTATATTGTTATTCACACTTGTGATGTTAAAATATTAGTTAAATTATTCTCCCCACTGATTTTTTTAAACTGTTTACAATATGGAAGTGCCTAGGCAGATGGACCCCCCCAAAACATCCTGCTTAGGGCCCCCAAAAGGCTATAGCCAGCCCTGGCTTCCATGAAATGTTTGCTGATGTATCTCACCTATCCAGAGAGCAGAAAGGATGAGTGCTCTGCTGATGTTTCCTCTCATTTTGGTTTCATTTGGTTACCCTCACCAGCTCATTGTTCACTGATCCTAAAAGAAACAGTAGAGAAAATTCAGGACTGTATCTTCCTAAGAATAAACAACACTGTATTCGAAAGGAATATGCCAAACAACAAAAACTCAAGGAAGCCTAGATGAGTTTTAAAACTTAGACGGACCCTTTTCTCCAGCGCACTCAGCTCAACATATGTTATTCACCACTGGGCTGGGCCTAGTATCCTAAAAGCATCTTAGTGTTAAGATCATCTTAACTGGTAGAGAGAGTGTTGAGTGTGATGTTCGCTTGACCATTACAGAATCATCTTTGTGCTAAGATTCTTTTGGGAAACCCAGCATTGACTGTTATTCAGTCATTCACACATTTTTTAACTTGCAGCCATGAGTTGGTATGAACATTTTAGTCCACTGAATACTGTAAGAAATATAGCTTTCACATACTTATAAACTCATTTTGTTTTAGACCTCAACAAAAGAAATAACACAGTTTCTTCCACACCATGCAAACAAACTCAGACTGGATGAAAACCAAGCATGCATTTAGCAGTTCCTCCTCTAGCCCCTTATCACTGGACAGTTTCTGATGAGAGGATCGCTGTCAGTTGGATATTTTTGGTTATCAGACTGTTCTGAAGTAGTTCAATGTACAGTTTAATGACTCTTTTCAACCCAATCTTCGGGCATCATCTTAGAATTTAATACTGTAACAGTAAATATTTTATGAATTTTATGATTTGTAAACCCTATTTTAAGACTTTATAAGACTTTTTGAGCACCTGCGGGATCTGGGGGGAGGGTTTGGCTAGTTGATTGTGCACAGCCAGCCCAGGTGGCCAAACAGTACAAATTCTGCCTGGTGCCAAAAAAATATTATACATCAAAATAAAAAAAAATTAAAAAATATTATTAAAAAAAATACAATTATACATCAAAAACAGTTTTTAATTATACATCAAAAAGAGTTATTTTTTTCCTTGTCCCATGACATTCTTGTTGCCTACTCTTAAGCATGGAGTGTGACTGTTGGTGCCATCAGCCAATTGGTGTTGTTAATATGTAATTTCTTTGTGTTTCCAACAAAATCCATGGATCCTGGATAAAGGTCAGTCTTGTGATTACCTATTCCAGTTAGGCCATCTTTAGAGTTGCAGAGAAATTATGTAAGATCATATTTAAAAAGCTTTACATCATTTGTCTGTATCTAAATTTCTTAAACAATTAGAGCATGAATCCTGATTTTATGAAGAATGGAAGGAAACATGATGTAAATTGATAAAAAAAAAAAAATTCAATTAAAATTGTCAATCAAAATTGTAACATTAAATAATGGCCTTTAATTGAAAATTTCCTTTAAGGTTGGTGCACTGCAAAAAAGTACTTTTTGCCAGTACAGTATCGTAAATACAACCCTTTCCACCCTACATTACATTTTAATTACAATACCCTGATGAATCTCACACACACACACACACACACACACACAAAAGAGCATTTTAAAGTCTTAAGTTTAACTTAAGAAATTTCTTAACTCACTCTATATTAATCCCTAGATTTGTATAATTAAAGAATTTAGGTTTGACCTCAGGCAGCTCTTGAGTGTGATATGCTACATATTTCTCATATTTTACCTTTGAGTGATTCAATCAAAGCTTGACTGAAAACCTATGATTATTACAACAATCACAAGCTGTACTCTTCTGAATTCCAGTTTGCTTAGCTAGTTTTACTGTGGAGATGACAGCTTGATTTATGCATGCATATAGTCTGTCTGGAGAGTTACTTCTCAGGTAACAAGAATAGTACGCAAATATTAATTCCATAGTTCAGGTTTAAACTTTATTTTCTAGGGCATACAGAGCTACACCATTAGTATTTACACTGAATCTATAATTCATCCTGTTTTTTTTTTGTGAGCGCATATCATTTTCCACATTAGTACAATAGTACAGTATTTAATTGGCATTTTTAATTTAACACTTTTACATGTGCCTGTAAGAATCCCTTCTAATGTAATTAACACTTTAAACACCAACAACAAAACATACAAAACAAATGATGCATTACCCATTGGTTACCAGTGCAGAGAAACAATGTTTTTTAAGGTGCATGCACCTGAGATATACATAATATGTAAAATGTGATTGTGCAAATATTAGTATCAGAGATGTACTTACCTGTGGTAAGGTGTAAAGGTGTGAATGAAGCAGGAGGCAGGTAGTAGATGCTGAAGTGTGCAGGGAGGGGCAGGGCTACAATGAGACATTCGCAGTATCAGTCAGTCCACCGTGATGTACCTGCTCACCCCTCAGGCCTTTCCTTTCAGCACTCACTGAACAGCACCAACCACTCTTTCACTTACAAGTGGGGGGACGTGGTGGTGGGGGTCTTCAATGGGAATTGTGTCAAAAAAAAACAAAAAAAAACAAACAAATAAATATATGCTACACTGAAGTTGAAGATACACGACAACTGCTGATTTGGTACAATGAGTCATGCATGATGTATTGGTATAGGTGTGGTACCCCTATACCTATTTGCTGTAGGCATTTACCTGCATCACATTATTTACGTCATAAAATTGCAAATCAGATTGGCCAAAATAAAAATAATAAATTTGTCAATTACTGAGTTTGGAGCAAAAATCATCCAGTTCTGTATCTCTCTATATCTCTAGTACATAATGAATTAAAATGTGTTGTATTGCAAAGAAATTGTGTTGTCTTTAAATTTGAGTGTCTCTGTGAGCAGAATATGGGTTCTTAAAGCTAAAATAAGACAATTATTATTTTTTTTTAATCCTAGATGACTGAGAAGTGAGAGGCATTACCAACCCAGTCCAACAAGTGTGAACACCCATCTCCCTCATCCTCAAACAATAACAAATGTTCTTCTACATTTCTGATGATGCTAAGCTCTCTAGTGACGAAAGCAGAATCTATAATATGTCCTCACAGGGCATCAATAAATATTTGAAGTTGCACAGAATAAGCTATGAAATACCAAGAATAATCCAGTGATTATTTCCAGCTTGTCACTTAAGCTCAGTTTGTTTCAGGTGTTTGATTTTGGCACCCAGGCTGTGAATTTTTCAGGCGTGTTATTTTGGCATCTAACCACCCAGGTTACATGTTTGTCTACATGCTCTCAGTACATTCTGTTGTTCTGGAACACTCCCAGGATTAAATTTCCTGAGCACATATCAGCAACAAACAGACAGTAACAAATCTATCATGCACTCATTGTAACACGCAAACCAAAATTCAATTACACAAACTAAACAGTATGAATGAATGAATACACAATTATTTTAACACATCTGCCACTGCAGCTCTTTAAATTTACACACCACACCCAACCTGATAGCAATACCTAAAATTATGTAATCTCTTCTCTGATGGGAACTCCCACAGTAAATGCAATAAATGAATTCATTACATTACACTAATTTCTCGTCTCATCACCCATTTTGAAAGCCTTACTGTCATTGCATCTTCACAGTTCTAACTTTACAGCTTTCACCACCACAGAAACTTACATAGTAAACTGATTATTTCTTAATACAACATAATAAAAAATATTTTAAAAAATGGAAAAAAAAACCAATTACACTGATATTAACTCATTTATGTCCGTATCTAAATTTTTAATTTTCTTTTGTTCATATTTGCTCAGAGCTTTCCTGAGCACAAATCAATCAAACCATATGGCTATAAAACGAGTTGTCACTTCATTTATTATATTTAGTTCAGGTTTTGGTCACATTGGACTGCTGATATTCAAAAAAACAGTAATAATTTGATTCTGAACAAAAGTTTCAAAATGACATAGAAAAAATAATGGATACTGGTGGATAAAAGTTAATAAAATTGTTATTTCAGACCAATCAGAACAAGTTCTGTGGCATTTTTCTTATCACACTAAATTTAGTTATAGGACGTGAACCAGTAATCCAGAGCAAACTCACCACGCCTAGGAAAAAGCTGTGCAAACTATGTTTTGTAGGTGTGTGGGCCACACAGAATCAAACTGGATAGTTCAGAAAGTGCTTGCACACTAATAATTAAACCTTACAAATAAGAGATCTTTAGTAGTGGACAACAAAGAAAACAAAAACAGTGCAAATGTTTCAGTTACAGAAGACCTTCCTCAATACATGAACATTAAATACAACATGGTGGTTTTATAGTCACATGGATGTTGTGTGACAAATCCCATAACCAAGTCACCTAAAAATCATCCAAGAAATACATAAAAAAAATATTGTTTACAGTGCAAAAAACAAATCCTCTTACAAAAATTACTACCCACATAAAAGACAGTAAGGTCAAACATAAACAATCACTACCCTGTTTTTTCTGATACAATTTACAACAACATAAGATGATCTGGGTCTATTTACTCTAAACATCCATCTGAGGAAATGATTTCTCCTTACAAATCGATACTTCCATGACTACATAATACCTGTGACTGCCTAAAGATATAATCACGCGTGATCTACTAGGCCCAATCACTCAAAAAAAAAAATATATAAATATTATAATAATATTATATTATATAATATAATAATAATATAATATATATATAATATATTATATATATATAATAATATATATATATATATATATATATATATATATATATATATATATATATATATATTCACTGACAAAAGTCTGTACATCTATGTCTGCATTATCAGTGTGGTTAGCTAAGAGACATATCCCAAACAAATTCATAAAAAACAGGCAAGTTTTAGTTCTTTATTCAGTCCTTGTTCATACAGCTTTCACACAAATCAATACTGCAGTTTTGTTAAGTAATTATTTTCCAGTACTCTTGGTAGCACATTAATAGTTTCATCTGGCAGGTTTCAGAATGGGTGTTAAAAAGAATGCATATGGTTTTTTTTTCCCTTAACCCTGCAGAGAAGGTGCAGTGGTGATAAGTCTTATTGAATTGACTGTCAATGCAGATTAGAAATTAAAATGAGGTACAAACTGCAACATCTTAATTCACCTGCTCTCAGAATAAC